GCGTGGATTAATCTAATTGGTAGAATACTTGCTTTGCATCTATTCCACTCTCTATTGCCTCACCCACCTGTGCCCGGTGTTATAACCATGTCGAGAAGGCCGTAGGTGGGATCGTGCACAGATGACCGGTACGGCGTGAGCCCGCACCTACGTGTGCCACCATGCCACCTCACCCCCAAAGTTCTACATTTGTTATCGGAGCGCAACCCGAATCTGACAGCGTCGGAAGTAATGGAGAAAGTTCATACTACTTAAGTAGCCAGTTATTTCGAAATTTAACTTTTTCGCAAGCAGTTGGAGGAGACCTCGTCCAAAACCAGCGTTCCGTTGCATTCTGGGATTATGCTGATACAGACAGCCCTACATACGTGGTCGTTTCAAATCGGAAAAAATCACGTTTCAGAATTTCGGTTAGGATTTCACGAAATAAAACACCTACTGTAAACTGTCAATTTAATCCCAAACCAGAGCTTTACCGGCTAAATTAAAAAAACACGCTCTGCCATCTTAAATACGTTATCCGTATCAGTGACAATTTGATCTCAAGATGATCCCCAGGCAAGTCAAGACAGGAGGCAGCAAACTGTATAAAAAAGAATGGTCCAGGCGCATTTCTCCGGGGTGGTAAAACAGCAACACGCATATTAGTCTTTGCTAAAATCAATACAAAAGTTATCAGGGGTTTTGCGAAAACCCCGGGCAGTAGGGGTGGCGGCGAACTACGCTGCACTGTTGAGGCGCTTTAGTGGACGCAAACGACGGCAAAATTGCACGCAGTCACTGTTCGTCTCGAAGGGTGCGCAGAGACGTGTCTCACAACCCACAAAGATTTGAATTCTTCCATTTATCGGACGAGCTCTGTCAAACTGTGAGGCCTTGAAGGAAAAGCCAACTACGGTTCGCGATCGGGGGAATAGGCGGACATCAGGATCGGCGGGGCACCTGCAGAATAAAAGGCAAAGCACGTGAGATATAATTCAAACCGACTAGTTGGTGAAGTCGTAGCGTGCGACAAATCCACAGCATTTTTCACTTTTAAATGTTCAACTTTAGTGCAGATAAACGTTCTACTGAAATCGAGAGAGTAGTATGCCCGTAGTCATATCATTTGGTCGTGCTAAGGGGCAAAACTTAGGAAGTAG